CTCTGTGTGGGGTGGAGCCACTGATTGGTTGCTTTAAGCGTAACTGTACTCACCTTCCTGCAGTGATGACAGATCAAAGCTGTTTCATCAACCAGCTCTGCCATCCTCATTACGTCGTCTTGGTCCTACGCCAAGTAGAAAGACAGGTCACCAGCACTCAAGATAATTTAAATAGATAAGTCCTTTTTATTGGACATCTAGGACATCTAGGTCACATCTATTCGCCTTGAAGAAGGGACCCTGCGCGGCCCCGAAACGTCGGCTTTGTTGATTTATTGTGACACAATTGTCCAATAAAAAGGACTTATCTATTTAAATTATCTTGAGTGCTGGTGACCTGTCTTTCTACTTTGTGTTTTGCACTGTGCCATCCGTGGCAGTTACTACAAGCACCATCGTTTCTTATTGGCCCGGGACTGCTGAAAGGTGTGCAGAGAGCACCCTCACGAACAGAAACTTGGTCCTACGCCACTCTTCTCCTCCCAAAGGAAGGTTGCTTTTGATGTGCATGCAGTCAGAAATTACATTGTCCACGGAACCTGACTGCATTCCCTGCATTGTCGGGGATGACCCAGGATGTACACTGCACTGTGCATGCACTGCAAGCAGAGTACACTCTTAAAAGGGGGTCGAATGACGATTTGCCAGGGGTCGCCTAGCGGCTTCCGGCCACCCAGGAGAAAAGCGCTTTCTCTGCTCTTTTTTTTTCTGACATCCGGCCGAAATTTTGACGTCAGTCAGAATTAAAAAAAACTTTCTCATCGAGCAGACTAAACCTTTCCAGGAGAAAGTTTTTTTTTTTTCCCGACAGGGTTAAAAGTAAACCTGCCGCTCCGTGTGCACAGTGAGAGGGGATAGCAGTCTTCCCCTCTCACCTGTCACAGAAGTTCCAGCACAGTGCTGTGCTAGGACTCCTGTATTGGAGGTGACAGGGTCAATAAAGAGAACCTGTCACCTCCAATTGCTATTACACAGGGGCTTGTTACCTCTGTGTGATAGCAATGAAGTTAAGTGGAAAAAAATAGATAAAAACAATTATTAAAGAAATACAAATAAAAGAATTAAAAAGCGATTAAAAAGAAATAAGAAACAAATGATAAAAAAAAAAAGAAAATTATAAAAAATAAACAATAATAAGGTGAGAGTCCTCCTCAGCCCTCTCCTAGCACAGCAGTGTCAGTTCTCCCGCCAGATTTCGCTGCAGCAGCCGCGTCATCCCTAAATTTTACCGTTGGGGGTCACCACAACTTGGCAAATGTTACCAAGGGGTCCCGGCCCTAGAAAGGTTGAGAACCACTGACCTAGTGGAAGAATTTCTGTGCAAACGGCATGCACCCAGCATATGGCTGGGCGAAAGATTTAGAAATTGGCCCAAAAGTGTTTTTTTTCCATGGTGTAGTTTTCATTGCCCAGAACGTCTCGGAGATGGCATCCTTGAACTTCCGTACTGGGACTGGAGCAGTAGACATTTCATCCTGGTCACATGGACTGTCCCCCTCGGACTTCTGGACCATGTCATATATTACAACCACCGTCTTATATCTGTGGGTACCATTATGTGGGTATATGTACCTAAAACAGGCAGACTGGAAGGGATGGACCATCAAACCACTACCCAAGCCAACCAGAATTAAATTCCTTTCTTATGATTTATTTTGTACTTTAGTATAGTTATTTTAGGCTGGACATTTCAGAAGGCGGTTGCACATGCAGGAATGATCCAACCGCCCTCAGGCTAAAGACTTTGGAGATTGCTGCTCAGCACTCCACAGATTTGCATGCTTGGCTATGTTTATTTTAAGCTGTTTAGCGGAAGCCATCTAGCTAAAAGCCGGAAGTTATTATGGGGTTTTATAATGTGCCCATTTACTTACATATGCAATATTTCATTGGACCAGGTGCACCCTGTAGTGCAAGCATTATAAACACCATGACGTTCCTATATTCCAGGATAATAATGTTGTTAAACAAATGCTTTCATGGAGGATGATTCAGTAGCATAGCCAATTACTAGCTCACATCCTTTAGCCTTTATGAGCAGCATGGTAAAGTGTCTGTAACTTTGAACTTCTCATATTTGCTCCCTTTTGGTCTATTAAATACACTAATGAAGGTGTTTAGTTATATCTGATAAGTTTTAAAAAAAATACCCGTGGATAAGAAATTCCGAGTTCTCTATCCTGTGCATACTTACTGTGTTGGCTCATGGAGAGTAATTAGCTCTCACAGTTCTTATCTTGGGACTACAGAATGATTAGCCTTTATGTTGTGGACATGGTAGAGTAGGTGGGTCTGAGTAGTTTCGGAAGAGAAAAGAGGGCAGGGCTGCAATGGTGTATCCAGGGCATGACACATATGGAACATGCCCTGGGAGCCACTTAAAGGCAGGGTGCTGCTCTGTGGGTTCACCATCCCATGGAGAGAGCTGTCAATTTGTTTTCACTCTTTGCTCAGAGCATCCCACCCAGCTCCTGGCCACCAGTAACGTCACTGGTTGCCAGAAGCTTGGAGGGATGCTATATGTGTACTTTATACTAGCAATGCTTCTGCAATGTTGACACCGCTCAGTCAACAAAAATGCTTCATGTTGTCAGCCCACGACAGGACTTAGGAGCTGAGTGCAGTTCTGGCAGAACAACAGGTATTTTTCTGTACTTTCAGGCTCTTGAAAAGGATGCCTTGATTTACACTTACAATAGATTGTCATCTCTTTCACCTCTCAAATAACTGGAAGCCTTTCTTTATGGGGAATGGTGCAAAATCCAGCTCATAGTCTCTAGGACTTGTATGATAGCACGGCAAGAAGAGCTAAAACTGTTCTAAAGGCAAAGGATGGTTGTTTTTTTTAGGTCTCTGGTATAGTGAAATGTTAATGGACACTGACACTTATATGACACTTATATGAGCTTGTTGGCCAAAACCATGGGCATTAATATGGAGTCACAGCCTCCTCTCCTCTGGGAAGGCTTTTCACAAGATTTTGGAGTATGTCTGCACAAATGTGTGTCCATATAATCTAAAGAACATTTCTGAAATCATGTAGTGATGTTGGACATGAAAACTAGCATTCGAGGGCTGCACAGTGGTTTAGTGGTTAGTGCTTCTGCTGCCTTGTAGTACTGGGGTCCTAGGTGGAATCCCAGAGTTTGTATGTTCTTCCTGTGCTTGTGTGTGTTTCCTGTGGAAACTCCAAATACATGCTGGTAGGTTAAATGGCTCCTGTCTAAATTGGCCCTGTGTGTGTATGTATGTATGTATGTATGCAAGTTAGGTAAGGAGCTTAGATTGTAAGCTCTTAGAGGGCAGGGACTGATGGGATTGTGCTGTGTAAATTGTTGACACTATATAATACCTGTAATAATAAATAATCTCAAGATGTTCAGTAGGGTTGAGGTCAGAGCTCTGTGCAGGAGTTCTTCCACACTTAACTCATCATATCATGTCTTTATGGAGCTGGTTTTGTGCAAAGGGGTAGCATCATGATGGAACAATATAGGACCTGCACTAAACTCTTACCACAAAGTTAGAAGCAAACAGTTGTCTAAAATGAAGGGATCTAAGGAATTCCAAAAGCTTGAATCTTTAATAACTTATAAGCTTATATCTTTTATAACTTTAATAACCTATAATAAGCAATATTAAACTCTCAAACTTTTATTTAATACGGAATCCACATTGAGAGGGTATACATTGCCCGGCAAAGTATTTCTTAAATTTTTTCCCCAAATACTGTAATCATGTTTCTGGACAGCTCCAACTCTCTCAGCTCAGCTTCCCTGAACTATCTGTCTAGTACAAGATCACAAGGGACAGAGCAGTCTTCAGCAACTGTCCATCTACCAGGAGGGAGGAGGGAGGGGGTGCCTGTGTGTTTGTGGAGACACACACAGCTTACTAGCACACACAAGAATGGCCACCCTAAAACAGGATATGAGGGCCAGCGCTGAGGGGACCAGCTGATTCTGCAGAAAAATTAAACTGTAAACATCAAGAAGCAGCATCCATTGTAAGAGATTTAATCAGCATTTGATATAGCTTAAAAACCTTTTGATGTTAACATCACTTTAAAGGAGAACTATGAGGGGAGTGATTTTCATTTCGCCTCATAATCTGAACCGACCTGTGACAATGAAACGGTCACAGGTCGGCTCAGTAGATCGGGAAGTGAGCGAACACATACCGGCGCTCGCTCACTTCTCGATCCTGTCACTGCAGAGAGCCGTGACAGGGGAGGGACTGGATTCCCCCCTCCCCTGTCCGATCCTCCAGCGCTGACTGGCGGAATGGACGGGGAGGGGGGCGGGTACAGCTGGCTCTCCCAGTTGTCAATCCCGCAGCTGGGTGGATCCAGACAGAATTGTCGGGATCCGTTTCAGCTGCTGGGTCTCAGTATACCGCGAGCTGTAGCTATGGGAACTATGGGAAAAAGCCCTAACCCCATAGTTCTCCTTTAAGTTAGCCAATAAAGGGTATCAGCTCCAAACCGTCTGCAATAACCAATGGCTAGTACGGTACAAATACTCTGCTACTGCTATTCTGCAACATTAACAGTACCCTTCACTGGAAGCACCAGAATTCAATCATTTGAAGGAGTGTCCACACACATGTAACCAGAGGCGTCCCGAGGCGGGGTGACACCTGGTGTAGGTACCGGGTGACACCCCGCCGTGATGTCACTGCACACATGTGTGATGACATTACACACTGTACCTCTGTTACCTGCCGGTGGCCATCTTGGTCCCCTCCTCTCTTGAGCAACTGTCGGGCTCTCGGTCCATGACCGAGTGTGCAACTTTTCAGTCATTTTGGTGTCACCCCCTGCGATGGTGTCACCAGGGTGCGGGCCGCACCCCCCTTGTGACACCACTGAATGTAACCACATAATGTATATGCTTATGTATTTCTGTTATTATGTCACAGCCTGCCATGGTTAGTGTCCAACTCCATCTGGGCTACAGTGTGTCAGCACAAAGTGTAACAATTGTGCCTCCTCTCAACAGGATTATTTGGGCTGCATTATAGACTGCGGTCAGCTCCCCCTCAAACCCGAGCAAGTCAGCACTTTATTCTGCAACATTGAAGATATTTATGAGTTTAACAGGTAAGATGATTATTTTGTTACTATGCATGTGAAATAGATATCGGTGAAATGATGCCTATTGTTTAGGCTGATGTACACCCTTTTTTTTAATAAAGAGTTTCCAATTAATAACACACTTTCTTCCATGGGTGGCAACGTTCACATACTCTACTGTATCTATGGAGGAAGCCATGGTTATCACTTAGGCTGGACTTCAAACACGTCTTCCTCTTTTCATCTCCATTTACAGAAGGACCATAATATTGTTTGGGCTTTTAGTTCAGCTGACAGGAAGTGACAAAACAATGCATTTGAGGCAAGATCAACAGGTATTTTCTGTACTTGCTGAAAATGTTCTTAGCCTGAAAGAAAAATAATGCAGCCACCACATGTATGGACTGATAAGCTAAAGTATATTACATTTCTGTCTTTGGATTTACATATCTTTTAACAGGAAAAAATATAAGTGATGTTAGGTCCACTTTGAGAATATATATGCTGCGTTCCAACTCGTTTTTTGGTGCGCTTTGATTCTTGGTGTGGTTGATTGGAATTTGTTACCTAACACACCAAAATGCACTATAATGCGCTTATAGTATTTTCATCCTGCACACTACTTGTTTGGCATTGAGTGCTTTGGCGCAAATTGCACTGTGCTACAACAAACGTCCATCAGCAAGGTGTATTGGGGTACTGATCAGAATGAGTAGCACCCCAGCACACCAACGCACATAACATGTATGTTGCCGTGTAGGCGCGTGTTACCACAATGCAACAGTGTAAATCCAGTCTGAGGGCCCACAGGGGCGTCCATTGACATGGGCGTGTACATTTGTATGGTATGCACACCCATGCAGATACCTGCTCCAGGAAGGGACAGTTGCAGCATGTAATTGTGTGCAGCCACCTACAGTGTACATCCCCATGGGCAACACGCGTCCCGAATCCAGGTACCCGCACTTCAATGCAGACTGTCTGCGTAAAAAAAGTGGGCACCCAGACCTGCATGGATCTGCAGATTTAGGTCGGCATGTGGTTGCATCCTCCCATAGTGATGTACAGAGATGAATGAGCCCTAGAAGAAAATTAGTTTCACTTTTTTAATTTTACACATTTATATTATAAAACTCCATAGCTTGCCCTGAACCACCAGATGAACAGTATGCTTCACATGCATCAAATCCTCCAAGCTTGCTTTTTGTTGGACTTTTCTTGTCACCCAAATTAATATTAATGGAGAGTCCAGTATGTGAACACCACATGCAAAATGAGAATAGCACATGTGCTGTTTCCTTTCATCTGTACAGGCAGAGATGGCCCTGATGATAGAAAAATCTGGGCCGGCGCTAGCCATGCCGCTGGAATGTCACTGGGACATGATTTGAGGGCAGGACTGAATTCTAGGACATTTCCGCACCCTACTTACTTTTTGCCCCAATTTATCTATTATTAATATCACCATAGAATTCTATTTTTTGAAAGAGAATCTGTCACTTTTCCTAATCAGGGCAAAATAACAAGTTTCCTTTGAAGGACCCCTCCCACTCCCCTGATTCTCATCTTTGCTGCACTCCCCCACCATTTTGCTTGACTCTCTGAGCCCTTGGAAATACCTGGTATGTCTGTATATGGGGGAGCATTGACCTTCTTCCACCTGGTACGTCTGTGTGTGGGGGAGCATTGAACTTCTTCCACATGGTACGTCTGTGTGTGGGGGAGCATTGACCTTCTTCCACCTGGTGCATCTGTGTGTGGGGAGCATTGATCTTCTTCCACCTGGTGCATCTGTGTATGGGAGAGCATTGACCTTCTTCCACATAGTATGTCTGTGTGTGGGGGAGCATTGACCTTCTTCCACCTGGTGCATCTGTGTGTGGGGAGCATTGATCTTCTTCCACCTGGTGCATCTGTGTATGGGAGAGCATTGACCTTCTTCCACATAGTATGTCTGTGTGTGGGGGAGCATTGACCTTCTTCCACCTGGTGCACCTGTGTATGGGGTAGCATTGACCTTCTTACCCCTGGTATGTCTGTGTATGGGGTAGCAATTACCTTCTTCCCCCTGGTACGTCTATGTATGGGGGAGCATTGACCTTCCTCCACCTGGTACGTCGGGGTATGGGGGGACATTGACCTTCTCCCCTTTCTCAGGCCTTAACACTGTCACGGAAGGGGAGAAGGCCATTCACCTTGTGTAAGCTCTGACACTGGCCAACAGGGAGCTTACACAGGGATTAGACTACGATGGAAAAACAGAGCAGTGGGAAGCTTGGTCAAGAAGTCTATCAGTGGACGGTGGTGCCATGATTTAGCAAAGTGACAGATTACCTTTTATTCCTTAGAAGGATGCAAGAGGGACCCCAAGCGATGGCTGGTCATTTTTTGGCATGAGAATTTCTATGCCAAGAGGTAGCTGCACTAGCTGAAGGATCCACACTATCCTCTCCACTATTTTTGTATCTACAGTAGAAATGCATTGGAAAACGTCTTGTAAATGGCAGCATAACAGCTCTTTATTTCATCAGTGATAAAAACAAGGCATCGACATTTACCTAACAAAGTCAATAAAAAATATGCAATTTGTAGTGGAAAGCTTAAATAGTAATGCTAGAGTACAGGAGAAAGCACAAGTCATGATATTAACAGGCTACTCTTTTACAGTGAGCTTCTGGAAGAGCTGGAGAACTGTACTTCTGCACACATGATCGCCGAGTGCTTTGTGATGAGGGTAAGGCTCCTCCTGCTGGTTAAACTGCTTCCTGCAAAATATTTTAAGGAAGGCAGCTAAATATCCACTCATGTGACTCATAAAAATCAGGAAACTGAGCGATATTCCAACTGTAATTATTTCTCAGGATTGCAGACTAAATAAACCTTGATTCTTGATGAATAATCAATGTGTAAAATCACATGCAAAGCTGAATGTTAAAGGGTCAGTCCATTCCAAAGTCATATTTCAGTTGCACGTTAATGGGTGGAATCAGAGACATCTCCCTCTCACAATTGTCAACTCTTTTCCTGCACATTTTAGAGTTTGGGGTGTCGCCTTATCTGCCACACACCCACCTTTGTGTGTCCCAGCTCTGCCTGGTGTAGCCTCCATAATAGGAAATATACACTGCCTGGCTACAAAAAAGTCACACTCTAATATTCTGTTGGACCACCATTAGCTTTTATTACGGTACACATTCGGCGTGGCATTGTTTCCATAAGCTTTTGCAATGTCACAACATTTATTTCCGTCCAGAGTTGCATTAATGTTTCACCAAGATCTTGTAGTGATGATGGGAGAGTTGGACCCCTGCGTAAAGTCTTCTCCAGCACTCCAGTCCAGCAAACATTCTCAATGGGGTTAAGTTCTGGACTCTGTGGTGCCCAATCCATGTGTGAAAATGATGTCTCATGCTCCCTGAACCACTCTTTCACAATCTGAGCCCGATTAATCCTGGCATTGTCATCCTGGAATATGCCCAATGTGCCATCAGGGTAGAAAAAATCCATTGATGGAAAAACCTGGTCATTCAGTATATTCAGGTAGGCACCTGACCTCATTTTTCAGGCACATATTGTTGCTGAACCTAGACCTGACCAACTGAAGCAACCCCAGATCATAACAGTGCCCGAAATCCAGTTGGCGACTTTTTTTTGGCCAGGCAGTCTATGACAAAAAAAATCTAACATGGAGAGTGGGAACTCCTCATTATGACCACAGTAGATGCCCAGCCCACTTATAGAGGTAATTGGTGGTGAGTGCCCCTTTTAAATGTTGGTGATCAGTGGTGAGTGCCCCCTTTATGGTCAATATGTCATGTGTACTTCCTTGATACTCATTGTACCCCCTACTTTTTTCTCAGTATGCCCCCTCTTGCGGCTCAGTGTGGCCCCCTCCCCTTGTTGCTTAGTTTGCCCCCGTTTTGGTAAAACAAATGGCAGAGAGGTGGACATGTATTTCTGGATCACCGTTTAGAAACGCTACTCTGTTTACTGCTTGTGAGCACACACAATGTATGTGTATTCAACCTGTCATAAAACAGCGAAGATCACAGGCAAAATGCACAGAACCAATCACAGTGATTCAGTTTTTATAAGAACAATGTAAGTGCGTAAAGGGTTACAACCTCTGTCAACCTATTGGTGTCCATATGCTTATTCAGGAGATTTCCCCTTACTTCCTGTCTAATTGAAAGGTTGTCAGACAGAAAATAAAATGAGGGGAAAATCCTCTCAATGGGAACACATACAGCAATAAACAATTTTCTCATCCAAGTAGGAAAGAGTTTTTATTGCAGTCTTTCTTCCTATTGGAAGATTTCCCATTACTTCCTTTCCAGGTGACAGATGTCAGACAGAACAAGAAGTAAGGGGAACGTCATTTAAAAGGTAACACATGTTCTTACCCATATCTAAGCTATCCAAACTTTTGGCTGGAGTTTAGCTTTATACCCGTTTTGTAGGAAGAGGGTGAGCTTGATGAGATATTGCCTTGATCTTTGTATACTATAGTACTATAGGCATAAAACCACTACCACTTATATAATCAACGCATGAATTGCCATATCCACTCTTGACAGTAATTATAAAGGGATTCTCTTATGAATCACATTTGAACAGCTGTCAACTGAGAGCTGTTTTATCTGATTGGTGGCACTTGAATAGCAACTCTCAGCTGCTGATGGTCCTAAAGGCAAAATCTAAAACCACATTGGAAGGTGGGATCTGCACAATGTTTAGTAATGTACCAGAAGCTGCTATCCACATTTAATTTATGCTTCCTCTATGAAAGTAGTGTGGCTTAATGTAAAATCCAGACTTTGTGTATGTGTATAATGGTGATTTCACATTTCCTCTGCAGAGTGAAGAGTTTGACATCTATACGGTGTACTGTATGAATTATCCCAGGTAACTGTCTCTGTTATTACAATAGTTTCTGCAGTCCTTGGAGACATGTCTGCTAAGATGTGCTTAGATGTTCTGCACTTTGGTCATTCAGAAGACCATTGTAACCCAAAGCTGTCCAGACTATGGGAAAAACTAAAACCGATAATCAGTCTGAGAATGAGGATGTAATGGAGCCATGATTAAAGAAAGATTGCAATGTAAAACGAATGAAGGTTTCTACTTAAAGTGACATTAAACCCTCAGATTTTGTAACATAAAACAATACTGTAATGTGCGCCTTACTGTAATCCATGGTTGTTTCCCTTCTCTTTGCTGCTCTCCCTTTTAAATCTGTATCTGTTCTCATGCTGGGCAGAACTTCTGTTTTGCAGCAGACTGCCTTGTCTCAGGAATGGATACACGGTGTCTGTGTATCCGTTTGTATAGGCTTGTAATCTGAGCCAGCACTACAGGAAGAGGCCCTGAGCTGCAAAGGGAAGTTCTCCCCCAGCATGAGAACACATGAGGATTTAAAAGGAAGCGCAGCAAAGAGAAGGGAAACAACCATGGATTACAGTAAGGCACACATTACAGTATTGGTTTATGTTAAAAAATCTGAGGGTTTAATGTCACTTTAACTCCCGCCCAGTGCACAATCTATTTATATTGGTAGAGGTAGAGTAGCTTTATTGAGCACTTCATAGACGTATGGATACCTATTTCCCCCTGCTTCCAGAGAGCTTGGACAGCTTCTATGTAGCAAAACTTACAACATTGATGTGAGCCACTTTATAAACTTATACCATCTTATTCTGAGGGAAAGCAGAATATTAGGAGGTGACCTGGAGGAGGTCCAACTCAAAGACAGCAGATAACTACAACACATCAGACATCCCCACTCTCCCGGACGTACCGGGAGTCTCCCGCACTCCCGCTTAAATAGGGAGTAAACCTTTCCATGCTATCTTTTTTTTTTCTGACATCGGGGCCGCAGGCCACCGTCAGTCAGAGAAAAAAAAAACAGCATAGGAATGAATAACTAGATTGCTGTTGGCTATTTCAATTTGCAATAGCCAATAGCAGACTAGCTATTGCACTCGCCCACTCCTGACAGTTAGGTCTCTGGTGTGTAATAATACCACTAATAATAAGTCCTGGGTAATACTATGCTGAGCTGGATAAATAAGGAGAAACAGAAGAGCTAAAATATTACCTTTTCTGGGGAAAATGCTGGTTTGGACTTCCTAAAGTGCTGGTCACATCTTCAAAAGCCTAGTATTTAGCATGGTATCTGCTAAAGAAACTTACATTTAAGCAGTGATTACATGGTTAAATGCCTAGATTTATGGTCATATAACCAGCAATGGATAAAGCCTAAAGCAGCATTTTTCTCTAGAAATGGTATTTAGGTCTTATATTGTTCTTTATTTATCTCTCCCATAGATTCTATAACTATAACTTATATTGTGAGGTCTTAGGGAGCTCCCTTAACCAGACACATGCTTCTGGGCTTCCTCAGCAATTCCTCTTTGGCCTTTTCCTGTCAGCCTCCTACAAAGGATCAGAGCACCATTGTCCAATCAAACTGTATTTTGTTGCATTGTAGGGTACTGAGGGGGGACAGGCAGAATTCAAAGATGGGATAAAAGATCTGTGTTTTTCCTTCCTCCTCTTCCTAACCTTTTCTTCTCCCCCCTAGCTCAGTGTCCGTCCTTCGGGAGTGCATGAAGAATGAGGGACTTGTTCAGTTTTTCAGAGAGCGGCAGGCGGTGTTATCGCACTCCTTGCCCCTGGAGACATATCTCCTGAAACCTGTACAGCGTATTATGAAATATCATCTCCTTCTGCAGGTAAGGCATGTACATGTACACTATATGACCAAAGGTTTGTGGATACTTGACCATCATAACTACCCTCATGTTGGGTCTTCTGGTGGTGACAACAGTGGACCATGAAAGTGTGTTTAAATGGCCACTTGTAGTCTCCATCAGAAGCCCTGTGACCGGGTGGCAATGCAAGAAGAATGCAATTGGGAGACAGTGAAAAAGAAAACAGAGGCAAAGGTAACGCCTGAACAATGATTTTCCTGGTAGAGTCACCAGGTATCATTTTTACGAAAGATGCAGATTTAAAAATATTGAAAATTGCATTTGAAATGACATGAACCTATTACAGCTTTATAATGATATTATAGTGGTTGGGTTTACATCTACCAAAGGTCGAAACTCTGGAACAAACTTGTCATGGCCTGTGTAACCCATGCCTCTATCGCTACAAATTCTCAGCTAGGTGCCATTTGTCTTTTTTGTTTTGCCTTGTCCTGTTATTCTGATGTCTAGTCTGTGTTTTATCACAGGAGCTGGCTAAGCACTTTGATAAAAATGCCCCCGGCTACGAGGTGGTGGAGGAAGCCATTATCACAATGACCGCCGTTGCCTGGTACATCAATGATATGAAGAGGAAGCAGGAACATGCTGTTAGACTCCAGGTACTGAGAATGGTAGCATGCAAAGCATGATGGGTAAAGCTCCAGAACCAGTGCTGACCTTCATGTTGATGAGAGATGTTCATTAGCAAATCGTCTTATATATTATTCTATCTACCTGGCGGCCCTGATTGTACAAATTTTAATTTAGTGCTGGTTATCGTCATTTGCAACTGCTTTAACTTTTTGTCTGATTTTGGGAATGGCTATGGTGTCACCTTTAAAGTGTTTGTATAGCCCAAACTTTTTTTGTTTTGTTTTGTGTAGGGAAGGGTTAAACCTCTTGCCAGAATAGTTTTAGATAGAATAGGGAAGGGTTAAAACTCTTGCCACAATAGTTTTAGATAGAGTAGGGAAGGGTTAAAACTCTTCCCAATATAGTTCTAGATAGAGTAGGGAAGGGTTAAAACTCTTGCCAGAATAGTTTTAGACAGTGGCGACTCTAGGAACAATATGTAGGGGGGGCACACAAGATACAACAGTAAAATCTGGGGGGGCACTAATAATTTTCATTGCATGTCGCAACCGCTGGGCACCGATGAGCTGATTTAATTGCGGATGGCATCGGCACCCCGCGTTTGCGACATTTAGTCCAACGCCGCCCACAATCCCGCATACCGCAACGGCCGGGCGCCGATGCCATTTGCAATTTAATCTGCTCTCGACGTCCGGCAGTTGTGGAATCCAGCATGGACTGACTGGCAACTTTTAGCCCAGGGGGCAAGTACAACCCAGAGGCCCATGATAACTTAGCCCACCCTCCAGCTCTGCCTCTTCCCCCAAGTATGGTTTTAGATAGAGTAGGGAAGGGTTAAAACTCTTCCCAGTATAGTTCTAGATAGAGTAGGGAAGGGTTAAAACCCCTGCCTATGCATTTTTTTGTTACATGTGTATCACTAGAGAGATTTCCCTTTACTTCCTGTCCAAGAGAAGTAATTGGAAGTTAGAGAAAATCTATCAATGTGAGGGGAACTTGACCATTGGAACAGGTGGTCCCATTAGAAGGTTCCCCTTATCTCTTGTTGCAGGAGAACTGTCAAATATTGGATTTCCCCTTTCCTTTCCTTTTTTGTAACAGTGGTAATACAAATAAAGTCTGTCCCCCAGGATATCCCACCACACTCCTGACCAATGTGCTCCTTGTTAAATGGGTGCTGATACTATGCCTGATGAAGGGACCCTAAAGGTCGCTATAGGCTTGACAAAATGTTTAAAAGTCGAAGATCTTCGGTGTGCTGGTGACATATATTTTTTTCAGTCGTTAAACAGACACCATCAAAAACTCAACAGAGTTAAAAGAGATCTAACAGTTCCCCACCGTACAAGTTTTTCCTATGTAGGTTTTTTAAGTGTAGCGCTACCCACGTAGAAGCCGCTGGTTGCCCGTTCATTTCTAGTCTGTTTAGGGTATGTTCTCCAGCTGCTCACCCATTAGCACTAACCGCCCTTCTTCTGGTGCCCATAAACTGATGTCTACTCCAGTATTAAAATGCTAAGTAAACGATTTATTCACTGGGGAGAGAGGGTATAGGGGTTCTAGGTATCCAGGGATAACCGACAAGAGCTTCAGACTCACCAGACTTCACAGGCACATCAGTGCAGATCCCATTGGCAGACAGCAGGGAGCGACTGATGTAACAGACAGACAGGATGGATGCAGATCCTCAATCAGGAAAGACACCGACCATGCTCTGAAGTCCACTTAGTTCCAGGGTACTTCAAGAGCCTGCACTGGTCCCAGTTCTCTTCCTCTTTCAGCATCTCAGGCCTCCTCCATGTTGGAGGCCTCAGGGAAACCTCTTCTCGCACACTAGCCCATGTCCACCCCCAGGCCTCAGCCTAGCCTCGGGGGCAGGCTGAACAGGACCCAGCCCTAATCCGTGGCTGGTCCCGGCTACTCTGAGCACATGGCAGCTCCCACCAATATATGTACCCTATCCCAGCATGCACCACAGGCTGAGAGAAGTCCAGTGATTGGCTGCTGTACTGTACATACATTACAGTTCCTCCCATTGGCTTTCCCACAATATGACAGAGTCACACTCCACCCAGGGGGTACAGGCAATGTTAGACACCTGGGATTAACCATATAATTGCCACTACAAATCCAGCCAGTCTGACTACAGCCCTGGCTATCGCTAAATGCCTAGTAGCCACATCACAGAAGGTGATGGGTGCTACACTAGCATTGAGTATATATGCCATACTTGAAAAAGAGTTTGTTTGATGGCTGGAAACATTGCTTTTTGGAAAAGTTTGTGCTTTAACTTGTTGTTGCTCAGTTGCACTTTAATAAAATACTATATGGACTTAATTGTTCGATGGAAGTCCTTTGAGCAGACATTGTGCCCCGAGACACACTTAAATTGTCACTTAGGGATTCATATATAAAGGCATATAGCCTTTATGGGGGGGGGGGGGCACTAGTGCCCCTCTTTGGCACAGTTGAGTATAGGAAATTGCTTGTGCCATCTAGGGGAGCTAGTGCCATGCAAACATCATCCGCCTGTAAATGAACTCCTTGGTCTTTTGACTAGGGGATTTTAACTGTCAATGAAACCATCAAAAGTAAATTCAACTTGATATATTTTGTTTAATTTAAATCATAAGACATACAGACTGATAGAGTGGAAGACCAGATACATTTTATGTCATCATGGGAGAGGATTAAAACGCATCACATTTTTTTTTTTATGCTGTTTGTATCCGTGTTTGGAAGATTTCCCTTCCAGCCCAAGGACGAAAATGCAGATAAATCTCTCTAAGTGGACACCAATACAGACACTTTTTAACCTCTTGCCGTCCGCCCGTAGTAAAAAAACGGACGGACGGCACTGCAGCATCTGCGGGTTGCCGTCCGTCCCTAGCGGGCACACACGGGCAGAAAAGACCCGTCCAATGCGAACACCCGGTACCGGGTGTTTCACATATAGGCGATCAGCGGGTCCATAGCCAGGAAGGGTTAGAGCCTCTGCTAGATGTGTTGCTGTCTGTCCCTGTTGGGGAGATTTCCCCTCACTTCCTGTCACATCCTATCCAAAGGCCAGCATTGGTCTCTGGATTGGAAGAAAGGGCAAATCTACATGGGCACAGACAACAATAAAATACCCAGCAGGGTCTAACCCTTTTAGACAATGGCAGCTACTGTATATGTGACTTTTACACATCCCAAATTGCACTTTTTGTTAAAAATTCACACGTACAATTAAAGCTGGCACTTCATCAAATAACCCGGAAAATGGTTACACAGACCTGTAATTTCAAACTATTGGCTTCACAAGACGAAGGTTAATGGGGCGGCTGAAAACACCAAAACGCTTTTTTTTTCACAGCAGTTTACTTAGCAACACTGCGATCTTGCTTCCCGAGGGACAAATGTTCTTTAGAAAATGGAAATAGCTTTTATTCTTCTCCTTTCTCCAGCACTCTGCCCTTACAGTATCTCATCTGATCTCTCCAGGAAATCCAAAGCAAGCTGGTGAACTGGCAGGGTCCAGACCTGAACGGGTTTGGAGAGCTCGTTCTGGAAGGGACATTCCGAGTGCAGCGAGTCAAGAAAGAGCGCGCTTTCTTCTTGTTTAGCAAAATGCTGCTGATCACCAAGAAAAGAATGGACCTTTACATCTACAAGATTCATATCTTTGTGAGTCATGTTGTCCTGTAGAGGATACACTTTTTTCTTGATTTGTATTTTGTTTCTGCTATTGTTTATAGTGCTTTCCTATTGTATATTGCATTTCTTTTTTATATGACTGCAGTGTAACGACACCAAAAACTTCCAGTTGTTCCTCTTGCTGATCTATGCTTTCTTTTTTCAGAAGGAAACTTAATATCACAGGGTACCTTAAGAAAATTTGGATGGGGCAATTAGCATATAATGCATCCATATTATCGCCCCCTTTCACATTGGTGGTAGGAGGTGGACAGCCTTTAGTGTAAAGCTTTTTACCCCCCTTACCACTGTAATTAAACAGCTTGTGGCCAGGCATTCTGTATGGGTTTTTCAAATGTTGATAGCGCTACTCAGAGCCTCTGCTTCCACCTGAGCCATGCTGGGAACCAGAGAGGAGAATCCTCACCTTAATGGTCACTCCCCAGATAGCAAGCAATTGTGCTGCAATTTTGTTGCACAATTACAGCAAGTCTGCATTGCAAGTCTCCAGACCAGCGAGCTTGCAGAGCTCTTGCTAAGACCTGCAGGACTCTTGCTGTAGACTTGCCAAGCAAATTTGCTACAAATTCAAAAAGTGTCAACTAGAACTTGTGCTGCGAGTGTCCTGCAAGTCTACAACTTGCCAGGAATGTGTGCGGCAAGTTAACAAGAATTACAATTTAACCCTGCCACAAGTTTGTGGCAAGTTATCCTTGCTATCTGGGTCAATACAAAGCTAGCTCTGGTGGGTAGATCAATGCACAGAAAAGTACCCTGCACTTCTCAATCACTGAGCCAGCAATCACAGCAATTTTTCCCTGAGAGGGGTGAAAATTATGAATATAGTAAGCGAACAATTTTTTTTTATACAGTGCAGTCAGACATGGAAGGGGCCCCTTCCTTCTCCTGGGCTCCATAGCAGCTCGTTGGGCTACTATGGCTGTAGTCACACATTTGCTCTAAAGCATGGATTTGTATAAACAGATGCCCTAAGGAAATGCCAAAGTGATTGTAACTGTGCTTGTAAAAGAACTTCAGAAAGGTTTATCTTGGTGTACCCTTTAAAGCAAATCTGTTGCTGGAAAGAACATTCCAAAATAATGTCTACATGTAAATACTCAACTGTTCTGTTGCTTGCTCCACCGTTCTTTACTCTGTTGAGGAAGAATCTTCAATATCTGATCCCCCCCACCACCCCATGTTAAGTGGTTTGATCCTCCTGCCCCTACGTCACGATAGGGCACATTTTTGACGTAGGGGCCTGTGGAAGGATGTTCAGTAGTGGAACGTTCACATAGATTGTGTTGGATGTTGAAGCTTCTTATACCTTATGAAGTTGGAGGTGAATTTTATAACTGAAGCTTCAGATAGATCAGGCCTTTTCTATATTCTAACGCAAAACTGGTATGTTTCCTTCTTGTGTACACCTTCCCTTTATATTATAGGAATGAAGTAAGTTGGGGATGTTCTATAGTCCAGTAAGGAGAACTCAGGTAGAAGTGGTATCCTTGTAGGGACCCCGTGTGCTGAAGTGTTGAATATAAGCGTTGGCCGGGGATCTACAACAAAGGCAATTTAAAGTGTATTTCCACTTTTGCAGCTAAATTGGGATAACGGCGATTTTATGTTTGTTACCTGTTTCTCATTCATAGCTTAACTTAAAAACAAAATTGAATTGCTGCTCGCACAAAACATGCTCAATTCTGAAAGAAAAGTTGTTCTCTGTATAGGATACATTGATGATTTCCATTTTTAATTAGTTGTCTCTTATCTTTCACCAGTGCTGTAGTCTGGCCTTGACAGAGCATCTGAAGGACAATTTAAGCTTCCGAGTCTCAGACTTGACCATCCCGAAGCACCAGCAAGTCATCCAGGTCTGTGATAACTGACTTTTTTTTTGTCATAATAAGACATTACAACCAATGAGGTTAAAGTGTATGTACAGTGTACGTAAGTAAATTGTTTACTTTTGGTTAGAGTGGGGAAAGGCTAGAATCCCTCTAAGGTTCTTATTGATGTGTCCCAGCTGGAGAGATTCACCCTCTCTGTTTTTCCTGGTGACTGCTGTCAATAGAGAGTTGCCACCAGAACAGAAATAGAGGGAAATCTTTCAGTAGGAACATGTGTTCCTTTGACATCTGTCTACCACAATCTCATGAGGCCTTGCAAGACTAACAGTTATAGGCATGACTCTAGGAGGCAGAGGCATGTTGGGATCTGTAGTTAAAGCACAGCTGGAGGACCGGAGTTGTCCACCCCTGGTCTATCACAAGATTTCCCTCACTTTGGAGAGATTTCCACTCACTTCCTGTTGTGCACAGGGCAGGAAGTGAAGGAAAAACTACCTAATGAGACAAAGATGGCTATAAACCTGAGAAGGATTTTAAGCTAATCCCTACTGTTAATCTAAAATTAAATTGTTTTTTTCTCTAGCTTCACTTTAGTCCAACTTGTAAGTTGGACTAAAGAAACCAAATTGCCATCCACTAAAATATTTAACATTTCGTGTAGTGAATATGGTATACATTACTTTACATGTTCCCTCCATACGGTATATAAAATCTAATGCTTACTAAACATTCAAATAAAATCATAAAAAATTAATTATGTCTAATTTATTTTTTTAAAACTATTTTATATTTTGTGCACCCGTATATTAAAGTGATAGTAAACCTTTGGGGTTTTTTTTGTTTTACTTTTTTTTTGGGGGGGGGGTCCAGACTTACTTTAATACACTATTCCTAATTCTTTAAATTTTTTCATTCCCTCGTTCTCTAGTAGTATCCAAACCGCTAGCCCCCCCTGTACGAATGCCTCCATCAGCTAGCCGGGTTTTGGGGGCTTTAGAAAGTAGTGGGTGTTTTTGCCTTAATGCTTTCCTTGCTTAAAAGAGAACTATGGTGTAAGCGTTTTTCCCCATAGTTCTCTTAAGGGTCACTGGAGGACATATACTAGTGTCCTCCCGTGACCCAAAGCTCAGTATATCGCAAGCTACAGCTCACGGTATACTGAGACCGCCGCAGCCGGGACGGATCCCGACATTACTGTCGAGATCCACCCAGCTGCATGAGTGACAGCTGGACTCTGCCTATCTAGAGGCAGATCCAGCTGTGCCCACCCCCTCTCCCGTCCGTTCCTCCAGTCAGCACTGGAGGATCGGAGCGGGGAGGCGTGGAATCCCTGCAGGGAGCCGTGACTGACAGTCACGGCTCTCTGCAGGGAGATGATCGAGAAGTGAGCGAGCGACGGTATGTGTTCGCTCACTTCCCGATCTATTGAGCCGACATGTGGCAGTTTAATTTTCACACGTCGGCTCGAACTATGAGGATGAGTGATTTTCACTCACCTCATAGTCCTCCTCTAAGGTAGAAACACCATGCCTTTAGTACTCCGTTAACTTTGGAAGGAAATATGAAAAAAAAAAACATTGCGCCGCCCACCCTTTGCCGTACTGGTTATTTATTAAATTAGTTTATAAAACAAAGGGCTACTCTCAAATGTAGCGGCATGAAAAGCTTAGCAATGATCCAAGATTAGGAAGTCATCTACTGTGGATATTTTTCTCGACTTCATAAGAGATCACTTCCTAATCTTGGATCATTGCTAAGCTTTTCATGCCGCTACATTTGTGAATAGCCCTTTGTTTTATAAACTAATTAATAAATACTACAGTTATGCACAGGTTGGGCGCTCTGGCTTTTTTTTTTGTTTCTTTGCATGTTTTTGGACAAGAGCTTTCCGATCTGAGGAGGAGCAGCACCCGTGGGCCAGTCTAATTGAAAAGTGGGATAGCTGTTGACTGTTAGCGCCGGAGGAACTTTTAGGCCTCATTCACATTGCCGCGCGTATACGCGCGTACGTGCGTATTGTACCATATGCAACACATGCAAATAAATGGCTCCAAACCCATAGCCGCGCATGGAGCTGTATATTTGCGTAGCGTATATATGTGCAAAAACAGAATGGAACAGAGATGCGTCCGGGCAACGTATTTCTGCGTATTTACGCGCATATATGCGCGTATACGCACGTACATGCGTACAGCACATTAAAAATTCCATTACGAGTGATGCATTCTGGGATTGCATATAGTGCACGCATATACGCTCGTATATACGCGCCTAGACGCTTGTATATACGCGCATAGACGCGTATATACGCAATATACAATTTTGCTTGGGTTGTGTGTGAATGAGGCCTTAAAATGTTTTGATTGCTTTGGAAGGAAATAGCATGACAACTCCATATTGGGATTCCTTTATTTCCGCCTTCTCTGTGGGTGGGTTCACACCTTGGCGTGAAGAGACTTGAGCTGGCTATATACAAGTAGAATTTTGTTTGAACAATTTTTTTTTTCAGAATGTTTGTTTGATTTTCTAATAGTTAATGTGGTCAAATCGACAATTGATTTTGACCATAGTGGTGAAAATATCAAAGGAGCAGGATGGATTTTTTTTTTTTGAACCGATGAAATTCTAAGACTGAATGCAGTTTTTATTCAGGAAACTTCATTGATTCCAAAATCGAAATCAATCAAACATTTCGAACGACCTTCAAGTCTCTGATGGCATTATCAAATATCTGTCTTAATTCTAATTCTAACATTCTACATTCAAAGGTCTAACATATTTCTTCGCTAATCTTTTTCTTCCAATTCCTATTTAGTATCTCCCCGTAACCTTTTTCTCTCCCTAAAACCCAACATGCTTCCTACATCCTTTAACTGCTTCATCAGGGGTATTACAAGTGCTTGTTTTGTGTTACAAAGTGACAGTGCTCCCTGGTGCATTCAAACACACAAACTTATATTAATGGCCACTGGCTTTGTAGATGCCGATCTTCTGTAGCAAGGGTAGGCAAACGCCGGCCCTCCAGCTATGGTAAAGCTACAAATCCTAACATGCATCTGCCTCTGGGAGTCATGCCTGAGGCTGTCAGAGTCTTCCAGTGTCTAATAGGATTTGTAGTTGCGCCACAGCTGGACTGGCTAGGGTTTGCCTACCTCTATCCTATAGTATCTCATCAGCACCTCCATTAAATGCAGTGAAGTACAGAACTACTTCATGCTGTCTGTATTATTGGTCATATTATCCATCCACTGGCCAAGGTGGTAGGTGACTGGTATATAAATGCTTTGTTGGGGCTGTTCCTGACACTCATTAGAATTGAGGAAGCCACTTGGATGAGCGATGACATTTGTTCTACATGACTAGTCCGGTGAAATCCAGCTGACTACTGCTAGCTAAACCAGAATAAAAGCCTCACGTCCATCCATTATAAGGCCAATAGACTAATCCTATGACATGGTGCTGTGAGCTCCCCCTGCTGGTTTACATTACACTGTTCCTTCTCTCTTATTCAGGCCAGAAATCAGGAGGAGAAGCGACTCTGGATCTATTATATAAAGCGTCTAATTGTAGAAAACCACCCGGCATCCATCCCTCAGAAGGTAACATTTGACTTATGACAAAAGGGGCTCTCCACATAAAAAGTTACACGGAGTGAAAACAATATTAAAGCTGAACTTCGGGTAGCTATAAAAATGATAATAAAATGCATTTTTACATACCATTAGCATAAGCACCTGATTCTGACTTCATATTAGCCTCCTGTCATCCAGTTAGACTGGGAAAGGGAGAGGCAGCACTGGAAGCCAGTCAGGCTCTGCTACATGTACATGTGCTGACAGTGAACATGCTAACTGGAGGAGAAAACACGTTGCAGAATTATGTTTTTATCATATTACTTGTTCCTGTGGCAAGAATTCAGATTTTGTTACTCCCTGTGATACAGTGACCAGGTTTGTAAAATCCTTGGAGTGGCAGCTGCTGGGAGCTCAGTTCCTACTGACATAGGAAAAAAAGCCTTTGGGAAATGTCGTTCTGGCGGTATGCCAGAACGACATTTCCTAAAGGCTTTTTTTCCTACACGCAGTGTGTGGGCAGGCTTTTGGGAGCCAAGACTGCAGTGTTATTTTGCTGGGAAAGAAATCAATGTCTGCATGTAGAGATGTACAGAGAGGGGTGGAGGATAGGCAGAGTTCAGTAGTTCAGAAGGCAGGGCTGACAGAGCTGCAAAAGGACCAAACGGGAAGTAAGAAGCACACTGAATTTCTGGCAGATTAACCGGTATTTTTCTGTGCTTAGAGCATTTTTGAAGGGATATAACCTGAGGAAATATGCATGTATTGCAGAGATGTACTGAATATTATTTTGCCCATGCACTTTAAATCATGTCATAAATAAGGATAGGAAGGATCCACTAGGATGGTCTTTGTTAAAGGAGAACTATGAGGTGAGTGCTTTTCACTCACCTCATAGTTCTAGCCGGCCTGTGACAATGATACTGTCACAGGTCAACTCAGTATATCGGGAGGTGAGCGAACATATACCGGCATTCGCTCACCTCTCGATCCTGTCACGGCTCTCTGCCATTACAGGGGAGGGGCTGGATTCCCCCCTCCCCGCTCCGATCCGCCAGCGCTGACTGGCGTAACGGACGGGGGAGGGGGTGGGTACAGCTGGCTCTGCCTCTAGATAGGCAGAGCCAGCTGTCACTCACGCAGCTGGGTGAATCTCGACATCGATGTCGGGATCCGCTCCGGCTGCGGCGTCTCAGTATACCGCGAGCTGTAGCTCACGGTATACTGAGCTTAGGGTGATGGGAGGACGCTAGTTTGTGTCCTCCCATTACCCTAAGGAGAACTATGGGGAAAAGCCCTGACCCCATAGTTCTCCTTTAAACACAGACTGGTCTGCTTAAGTATTTTTTTATATACATATACCTGTACTGATTTTTTTCCCACATAATGATCCTAGAAGACACATATGGTATCCGCTGAGAGTGTCGGCAGAAGTCCAATTCCAACAATCGAGACTTGTGAAAGTTTTTTTGCAGGTGTAGAAATGCTTTGCAGCCAAATGTCACCTTGGGAAAAGAATAAAAAAAACCCTCATAAATGTGCGCCTAAATCCATGACGGTCTTTCCAGCTCTGTTTTTGATGTGGAAACAATAAAATTCACTGAGGCGAGCATACGCAGCACTCAGCAAGAGTCAGAAGGAGCAAAGCTACAACCCGTCAACATTTATTGGTGTGTTGTGGCGTAACATTACTTACCACGTTAGCTATCCATAAAAGTTAAAAAGGTATTATTTAACCCCTTCATGGCCAGAAGCCATTTCAGCTACGGTCATCGGTAGGCAACTTCGGCGCTCAAGCTACCTCTGGCAGTCATGCCTGTGGCTGTCAGAGTCTTGCAATGACTCGTGGGAGTGCGGAGGTTGCCTACCTCTGAGTAAAGGGGGGTAGGTATCCCCACTGCAAGGATTTATAAAAGTTTTGCCCAGAGTTCTTTAATGGCATATTTAACAGACCAAAAGGGGGCAAGTAAGAGAAATTCATTGTTAGGGTTTACATACACTTTAAAGCCTGTAACACACTGCATGCGAATCAGAGTGGAGCGGTGGCACGCCGCCTTCGTGTGCAGTGTGTCATGTCATTTTTCTCTCCAGCACGTCAGCTTGCGAGAGCTCGCATAGCTGAAACAGACATATAGATACCTTGTCGCACTCCTTACCGGGAGGCCCCAATTAAATAAGGGGGGGTGCTCGCAATGACGGCAGATGGCACCACCAAACAATGCAAAAATTTAAGGGATGTCACCAGCACTCCAAAAGTTTTAAAGTCCAAAGTGTTTGTTTATTGGAACGTTGTTCTGGTGACATGATGTTCCAATAAACAAACACTTTGGACTTTATTACTATTGGTGTGCTGGTGACATCCCTTCACTTTAGCTTGCATAGCTGAGCGTGCCGAGATGAAAAATTATAACCCCGCATGTCACGATGTGAACTCTGCGGTTGTTACGGGCGAGCCGATTGGCTGAAGATGCAGTCATTCATCTGGCTGCACTCAGCTCACACACTGCATGCAATGCTCTGTGCCTGACAGCTTTGCTTTGTTCTGCACAGCTTCGCATGCAGTGTGTCACGGGCTTCACATTAAGAAAAAGGTAAAATATTTGTTTAGAAATGTATGGACATAAAAAAGGATTGATCGGAAACCAATATGGATTTCCTTTAATTATTATTTTTTTTTTTTTCAGGCTAAGCAAGTCCTGCTGGAAAACACATTCCAAAGTAAGTTGTACTGAGAGATACAGGAGAGAATAACACCGCATGTCATTCACCAAGGAATAGGAATCATTGAAGACATTTCAGAAAAATGTATTTTTCTACAACTTTTCATTAAAATATAATCCCTCAATTTTGCTTCATTGAAATGTGCTTGAAAAAAAAAATCTATACTTTTTTTGCTTTTGTTTTTTAAAGGTTGGTCCCTCGTCACCAGGTGACGAGGGAGAATGAAGCCGGCTTTCTGGCCAATCAGAAAGCTGGGGGGTGTGTAATGACTTGCCGTCCAGCTTCCTGATTGCCCAGCTTCCCAGTCAATCGGGAAGCCGGGCAGCGAGTCATTACACGCTGCCCCGCTTCCTGATTGGCCGAGAAGCCGACTTCATGCTCCCTCTTCACAAGTGACGAGGGAGCATGGAGCCGGCTTCCCGGCCAATCAGGAAGCCGGGCAGCGTGTAATGACTGACTGCCCAGCTTCCTGATACCGGAAGCTCAAGTATCGGGCTAGCCATTGGAGCATTTGGGCGAGTACGAGTACTCGCCCAAATATTCAGCATCGGCACCGATACTGATACTAGAATCTTTATTGGTGCATCCCTAGTTGTAGTGTTGTATTTAAAGAGTAGTTTTGTTTTATTCATTTAGAGTTCTTTGTATTTGTGTTTTTCCTGTGTTTTTCCCCTCTTGTTCTTTTTTTTTTTTCTGCGCTCGGGTTAAGTGCTCGTTTTTGTCTAAGTGCTAAAAAAAAAAGTTATACTCACCCAATACTTGGAGCTGACTGGCTCTTAGACTGAACCCTGGAGCCTCTCTCCCCCTCAGCTGTGGTCTAGGGTCCCTGAGTGATCATGTACTATACACAGTGTATAGGATGTGAGGACGCCGAGGGACATACCATCGCTGCAGCGGAGAAGGAGACATGCTTCATGGACCAGAGCAGCAGACAGCCGGCTCCACTGTTTGGGTAAGTATGTCTTTTTTTTTAAGCACCTAGACAAAACAGCCTTAATTCCCCGCATTCTCCCACCCTTCAGTGGAACATCAAAGCTATCACCAGGAAAGAATTAGGGGAGAACTAGTTGTGGTATTAGCCTTCAACTTAGTCCCTGCCTACAATTGCCTCCAGGGGCTTCCATTCACTCGGTTCTAATTTTGAGGGTGCGGGGCCTCAAAACTAGATATAGCTACTTTCGCTATATGGAAACTTATGAAAAAACTTTTTAATGAACAAAAAAAAAAAAAGCTAGGGCTTTGGAAATGGTGCTATGTCCGTTTGAGATCTCTTGGTATTTCAGCCAAGGCTCCCATACTGTTTCAAATTCTGCATAGCTGTCCTGCAAAATGCTATGTAATTTCTCGTGGACCATGATCCAATTCATTTTAGATAGCACTAGAGAGAATGGGACCTTTTCAGCTTTCCAGGACCACCAGAAAGTGGAAATACACCCAGTTTAATCTGCTTCAATATTGAGGTATTCACAGGTAAAATGGATAACTGACAGTCAACAGTCTAAAGTGTGTCTCTGGTGGTCCCAAATGAAATCTTTAACACATGGTCTCATTGTTACAGATTCTGCAGATGTCCTAGTTGCTTCAGACAGCCCCAAATCCCCCTGGATGGAGGACCTGTGGACATTTCACCGCAACAGAAGACAATCTGGTAAGAATTATCTGTCAAAAGATATGTGGCCCTCACGCTTACTGTCTCTGGAGGGAGAGTAGACCTCTCCATATAGAAGAGGTTGACCTTGGAGATTCCAAACGTATTCCTCTGTGAAAACATAGTAGCAGGTCCCGGTGCACCTAGCCCAATACCTAAATCTACTCGAAAAGAGAAAATCAAGGGCACTCACGGCAAATCACTCTTCTTTATTGTATCAAAAAAGCGTAACAAAGCCTAAAAACAAATACATTTATCTGGCCATTGACTGTTATTCATCCTGGGCGCATGCTTTCCCAAGGTATTCGGATCTAAGTGCCTTAAAAGAATTGTGCATTCTGCATATGAGATGGTCGTTGGCTGGATGGTTTCATTTACAGAAGAGTGATTTGAGTGCCATTGATTTTCTCTTTTGGGACTGGGAAGAATTATACAGGCCTAATGTAATGTACATATGAATGCCTCTGTGTCTCATAACTCCATAATGTGTCACCCTGCATTGTAAGGTGCTGGCTTCCTTCAAGTATCTTCCAGGAAAGTCACTTTACTATTACTTCATTTAGACTAATCTTCAGACACATCGACATTTCACCTGCCAGCTTTAGAATATGTAGATCAAAATGTAGCACTGAACATAAATTATGGAAATATTCAATAGTGTAACATTTTCTCTGCTTTCTGAGCTCTTTTGGGAGTTAAACATACTAGTGCAGAGTCTGACTGATAGGTAGCACCCAAGCAAAGGCCATCGGCATTCCTGTTTATCAAGCGCATCTCTTTTTACCTTTTTGGGATCCATTAGCCAGCCCCAGGAGAAGGCTCCAGGGTCCCAGAATACTGCTATAACTAGCAGGACAGCAGGCAGCATTGTGAGAAGGAGACCCATCCATAAAGGTGCCCATCCTATCAGTCTTTGGTTAGGTTGATGTCAATCCCCCCTCTCTCACGCAGTTTCCACCTAAAGTGTCACTCAGGTCTCATGTGTTGCCTATGGGGCGAGGATGAAGGAGCCCATACAGGCCTCTCTGCAGAGGTAGGCAGTAGCTGGCACCGCCATGCCTTATGCAGTAAAATGAGACATTTTACATTTTTCAACAACGATCTGTGGACAGTGAAAGTCCGTTCTACAGCAGCCATTCTGTAGAGGGAGAAATTTCCTGGCTAGCATTCCCACCCATGTAGGTCTTGTGTGCAACATGTACGTGAAATGTTAGGGAAAGTAGAAATAACATGAATCTGCTTGGAGGAGTGGAAGAGGTGCCAGAAAAAGCACATATAGGGAAGTGTCTAGTTTGCCCAATGATAAATCTGGCTCTGGTAAGACAATGAGGTTATCAGTCAGAAGAAGGGGCCTTGTGTCTGCTCTGATTTACACTGCAGTTAGCCACTAAAGGTATTTACTTTTCTTATCTTGACATAAATTATGATTCTTCTTACTAAAGGATATTACTTTGTTTTATCTACTGGTATGCTTTTTTTTTTCTCAGAACCTCCTCAGTACATGTGTAGCCCAGGAAAGACCAAGAAATCATTCACTCTCCAGAGTCTTGGCAGCAGCTCCCAACCAAGAAGAGGCCGCAGACTGTCTGGTATGTGGTGCGGGTTGCTGGATATGTAGATGTAATTATTTAAGGGAATCTCCACTTGTAAATTGAACCCGATACCCTGCCACCACACCCCTAAATAAAAAGTATAGACCTCAGATTTGACCAATCCAGTCCTCACTGCCTGCCCAGTAGTGGTATCTGCACGTTGGATTCGTCTTTAATTAAACATGCAAAGATTTCCTGCAATCGTCCAGAGCTAATCGATGCATGTCCGATTACATGTGAATGGCTGAAGCTGTTCATATGAGTGTCGCAGAGCAATTCACAAGACCCCCAATTGTAAATGGGGCCTTAATAACTGTATTTTAACCAACATTTTATATTATAGATCATTGCCACCGGTTTGGTATTATTGTTTAATCATCCACTGGACTATACCCCAATCAGCCATAACATTATGACCACCCTCCTAATATTGAGTAGGTCCCCTTTTGCTGCCAAAACAGCCCTGACCGGTCGAGTCGTGGACTCCGCTAGACTTTTGAACGTAAGCTGTAGTATCTGGCACCAAACCGTCGTTAGCAGTTCCTTTAAGTCCTGTAAGTTGCAAGGTGGGGCCTCCGTGGACACATCCCACAGTTTGCTTGATTGGATCGGGAGAATTTGGAGGCCAATTCAACTTTTGGTAGATCCTGACCACTGCAGACTGAGAACATCCAATAAGAGCTGCAGTTTTGGAGTTGCTCTGAAGCAGTCGCCTAGCCTAGCCATTTCTGCTTCCAACACATCAACTTCAGGAACAACATTTTCACTTGCTGCTTAATATGTCCCACCCACTTCCAGGTGCCATTGTAACCATATGATCAATGTTATTCACTTCAGCTGTCCGTGGTCATAATGTTATGGCCGATTGGTGTATACTTGCAAAGTCCATAACTGTATGCAAGTGTCCCTGGGAGAAATAATGCTGTTTTGAAGGCAAAAGGCATACCAAATATTTCGTTAATTTAGGTTTTTTTTGTTTATGCACTTTGTAGGTTGTTCATTGATAATTGCAAGATTTTTCAAAGCATCCTCACTTTACAGCATTTTGTACAAGTGCCTAAAACATTTTCACAGTACTATATTTCTCCGTGAGGCTTCTTCAAGTGTAAAATAATTGCTCTGAGCACAGCCATGTTCTAAGATATTGCCCTGTCATTTTGCAGAGCCAGCCAAAGAACTCCAAGCTCAGTTTGAACAAAGCGGTAAGTAACATGGTAGCGCAAAGCTCTACAGGTTTCTGTTTAGCAAATACAATTTTGGTCTATGGAAAGTTTTAGCTGGCCTCATGATAGCTGTTAAAAAAGACCTACTGCCCTTTAAATATTCACTGGACATTTGCTGGTTGTCCCCTTTGATGGGTGAACATTTACTGCATTATAAATATGGAAAATGTGTCCAGTAAATGCAGGGCTGGTGCTAGGATTCTTGCCTACACAGGCAAGGTGCATTTTTTTTTTCACTTACCTTCGGCGCAGGAGACCAGCGGCGAGTCAGCACTGGTCCGGTGGGAGGAGCTCCAGGTGGGGTCCTAATTTAGCTGGCCGGCGACATTGCCTTGCGGTAGCGCCGGGCCTGAGTAAATGGACTCCAAATGTTAATGAATGGTCACCTGGTGAATATTCACCAGTAAATATACTGTATATACTTATCAGAACAAACGTTTATTTTGCCGGGATCTTGGCACTGGTATCTGTTGGTGCAGAGGACTTGGCACAGTAAAGTTAAGTATGCAAACAAGGAGTTAAGATTGCTTTTTGTGCTGGTTAGGGTGAGGATTACTGAGAGGGTTTGAGTGAGTGCTACTGGGAGGGCCCTAGTCACACAGGGCTTTAGGCTGGGGCTGAGGATTGCTGCGGCAAGAACCTATGGAATCTTGAGGCAGGAATCCCAGGTGTGTCCATACAGATGCCATCGCTGTGCCAGTTTTAGTTAATGACACATCAGTCAGCAGCAGTCCGCATGTAAACGTAGATGGAACGATTACCTGTGGTTTGGGATAGATGATTGTCCCTGGACTCAATCTAAATGCGTCCAGGGACAATGATCAATTATCTAGGATCGTGTTACCTTTATTATAAGGGTTACTTGAAATGTTTGTGGTAGAATCACTGGGAGGGTTAGTGTAAAGGTTACTGGGAAGGTTAGGGCTAGAGTTAGTAGATGGTTTAGTGTAAAGGTTACTGGGAGGATATGTGTTAGGGATAGAGCGTTAATGTATGGGGCACTTAATGTAGAACATTACTCCCAGCATCAAGAGCTCTATGGTGAAAGCTAATGTATCTTATAACTATGCCCCAGTATCTTGATCATGCTGCATTTATTCCTGAAGACCTAGGGAAAGACAGAACTGCACTTTATAGATTGCACTACTGTAATAAACAGCTAGTTAGCTATTCTAACAGTCTGCTTTTCTTTTTTCATTTAGGTCTGGCACAGATGAAGGTTGGTATATGGTTTTTATAACATTGGGGGGGAAAAGTGTGTCTGAAAACAAATCCTGAAAAAGGTGCTTTGAAGTATATCTTGACCCAAAACATTTTTTTAAAAATTATGGAGCAGATAGTGAAGTTTTCACTATAGTAACATACTTGGGAAATGGAAAGATTTGCTTAACTATCCAAAACGTCAAGAGGGGGGCAGATAAAGCTTCAGCTAATATATAAAACTGCTTAAAATGTGTCTTTTTATTTTGCAGCATGCAGGCAGTGAAGGGGAGCTTTTTCCATCCACCACCTCTCTGCAGTCTGCTGACAGTATATGCACTCTGGAGTCCTGTATCCTGGAAGATACAGGTGAAGGTTGTGAGGAAACTATAGAGGACTCCTCCTTCTGCTTGCCAGATGATGTTTTGTCTGGAAGCCTCTCCATCACAGATGAGATAATGGAGCTACTCAACCAGAGAGGTCTCCGGGCAGATCCTACAAGCACCGAGTCTACAATGACAACCTCAGAAAAGGAAACTAAAGAGAATAAGGAGCAGGTACATTTTATTTAGTTGGAATTCTGGTTAATTGTTATATCTTGTATCCATCAATCACTCATTGGCTGAATTAACAGAAATTGGAAAAAAAGGAAAACTGAATGTGCTGCCCAGAGCAGCTAATCAAATTGTAGGTGTCATTTTCCTGCAACAGGTTAGAATATGACAAGATTCTGACTGTTCGCTGTGGGAAACATTTTTATCTTTACAGTATGTATAAACCATCTACTACATCTGTCCCATCATCAATCGTTTTTACACAACTAAATCCGTAAAGATTTATTGTAAGGCTAATATGGAAGAGAGCACAGGTCACCCATCCTATAACATTCTCTGCATAAGATTCACATGTAGTGCTCTCTCAAATGAGATCCATTGAAAATTACTGAATCATGCTGTAGGTACCATTGTTTTTGATATGTTAGAGCCCAATTGGGATAGTGATGGTGGGTTGGGGCTGCTATCAAGTTGTAAATGCTGTCTGGGTCAACACTGAGTTTATCATTTCTGACAGATTCCTCTTCCTTTTCTGACATCAGTCACGTGGACAGGAAGTGAGGGGAAATCTTTCTTGTGAGAACACATACAGGACAAAAACCCTACCAGAGGATCCAAACATTTCTCAGTGTACTAGAAATATTTTTTGCTGTTTTTGTCCCTGTTGGGGGAATTTCCCCTCACTTCCTCTTTTGTCGGACATCAGATACAGAAAAAGTGGGGAGATCACCAAACGGGCACACAGACAGCAAGTTAACACAGGTTATAATTCTTTCATACTTTAACCCAAACTAAAAATAACAATGTGGCTGGAGTTGAGCTTCAAGTGAATTATTTGCTGAGCACTTGTTTAAAAGTCGTCTGCAGGTAGTGTGCTAGATGTCTTGGTCCCCACATGTATAATGCCTTTATATTTTAATAAAAAAACAGGGTACCTTCTATATACGAAAGAGACTTTGCAAATCTTAATGATATTTTCCTTTCCTTTGTGCTAGGAATCTACAGCCTGTGAAATCAGTCAGCTGGAGTCTGTAGACAATCTTGGTGAGACTGGGAGGACAGGTTCTACACCCCCTGATAATACTCAGGATGCTTACTCCAATGGTAACTTGGCAGCTTCTGACTCTATGGGTGAGTTGAGGAATCAAGAATCATGTTCAGAGATCTCCGACGTTCCTTTCTGCATCGGTTCTTCAAATGAAGTTTTGCAGAAGAAAGACAACAAGGAATTAAATGAAGACAAGTTCGAAGAGCCAAAGATAGAGGAGACTGGCAACAATGCCGGTAAATTGGATGCTTGTAAAAATGAACAGAATTCAGTATGCCCTGGAGAAGGTACAGATGTGCCTCCTGTGCTCAAAGAGAATGTTGACGAATGGGAGGTGCCTGTCAAAAAAGATGCAGAGAACCATGAGCATGCTTCAGAAAAAAAAGATAGAAGCACAAAAGCTAAAAGAGACTCAACTCTGACCCCAGATGACCGGCTGCTAATTGAAAGAATCAAAAACTACTATGAAACAGCAGATGCTGGAGCCTCATACCTTAGCAAAGAGGACAGTATTTCCTACATTCCCACTGGTGTAGTCAAAGACTCAATCTTGAGGTTTAATTACATTATGCAGCAGGAGGTCAAGAAGGATCGAGAAAAGGTAATCTGCAGGACCAATGGGCTTATTTCAGAGAGCAGACAAGTAAACTGTCTTAGGAAACCCCCATGTCTTGCAGCTGAAGAAGCCACAGCTGAGCAAGGAAAGAACAAGGCTTCCACAGAGCAAGAATCAGAGTACAAATCCTGCGCTGAAATACGCAAAGCTTGGAAAGAAAAAGAAAAACCAAACACGCCAGAGACTGTACGGGTTTTAAAAAGAACTAAGTCACAGAGGAAACAACTGATGGAGACAGGCGGTGAACTGGTTATCGTTGAGGAGTCTGATCTAGAACATGTAAGTCAGCTGCCAAAAGAGGTTTCTTTGAAGAAGGAGACAGGGAAAGAGCAGCAGAAGAAGAACAGTGAAGAAAATGCAGGCAAGCAGGATGGTCATCTCAAGACAGAACTTGCCTGCTTAACAAGTGTCACCAATAAACCCACTTGCTGCTCTCCGGGTATGAGCTTATATGAGACAGATGACTTATGCCTAATTGAGAACTCAGAGAAAATAATTAGTAAGGTGCAGCTGTTTGCTAAAATGTACAGTGAAAAAATTGGCAGGCTGAAGACACAGAAGAAGAATGGAGAGAACAGGAGAGCAACAGCTCAGAACAAGGCAACCATGAAGACGCTTCCTCAGGTTGTGGAGGAGAGAATGGGTGAAAGACACAAAACAGGTAAGAACAGCACAAGAAATGTTGTCACATTTTCTATGGATACACAATAAAAACCATAGCGACGTAGAGATCTTTTTGTCTCGGGAAAATTATACACAATTTGTAGAGAAGAGAGCTGGACACAGATCTATTACACTGGAATCCTTCTGCCCCTTCAAAGTTTGTAATAATGTGATTTAGGTTACAGGTATAATAACTATGTGATGCTATGATTTAGACCTGCAAGACATTAATAAATACCTCAGAAAACCAAAAAGGAAACGCTTAAAAGAGAACTATGGGGTAACCTTTTTATCCCATAGTTCGCTTTAGGGTCACAGGAGGACATATACTAACATCCTCCTGTGACCCAAGGCTCAGTATATACTGAGAGCGCCACAGCCGGGAGAGATTCCGACACTGTGGAGATCCACCCAGCTGGCTGATTGACAGCGGGCTCTGCCTATCTAAAGGTAGATCCAGCTGTGCCCGCCCCCTCCCCTGTCCGTTCCTCCAGTCAATGCTGGAGGGGGGGAGTCCCTGCGGGGAGCGGTGACTGTCAGTCACGGCTCTCTGCAGGGAGTTGATCGGGAACTGAGCGAGTGACGGTATGCGTTTGCTCACTTCCCGATCTATAGAATCGTAAATCACTCACCTCATAGTTCTCCTTTAAGTGTGTACCATGGTTCCTGACTTGCTGTTCAGGTAGACTACGTACTTACCAGCACCTGGTTCAACCCTTTCGTGGGTCAGCACCTGGGTGACTTGCAATGATCAAACCTTGTAAGTCATAAGAAAGTGGTGCAGGATATTTGAGTGTGGGTTTTTTTGGGTTCAAAAACATACAGTATGTGAATTTTAGTGTAAGCTCCCTTGTCCCCCTATCTCCCATCCATATCACTTATCATCAGCCTTCCACTTTAACTGTCCTTCCCCCTAGTTTAATCTCTTAATCTTGCCTCTAAAAGTAACTTCCTAACATTTCACACAAACCTTCCACCCATTATAAAATGTTAAAATCCCAGGTCTTGGCAAACTGAAGGCGGTATAAAATGGCTATTATTACCTTTTTACATTATTATCTTATTACTTGCTAAAAAAAACTCTTTTTAAAACCTCAAAAATGTAAATTACCAGGTCATGGAAATTGCCATCCTTTATGCAAAATTTAGACCATAAGAGGATAATTTATACATGGGCATTAGGTCAGAAAGTGAACAGTATGATAGTTGCATTCTTAATGTCTAACATAATAGGTAGAATTGCCCATTAGTGTTATAAATGAAATACTCCTTGTTAAGGAAACCTATATTACATATATACAAAACCTTTGGCAAACATCAATATAGTGAACATTGCTTAACTCTGTTTAAAGTGTATGTAAAGCCAAATGGTTAAGACGCATATTTTTTATTTTTTTTTGCTGTCCCTTTGGGGCATGATGTTCCTTTCTCTTCCTGTCCAAGAAACACAACAGGAAGTGATAGGAAATCTCTCCAAAGTAAGGAAATAATCCCTCTTAGGCAATTGTTACTACAACAGGTGTCCCTATTATAAGATTTCCTCTCATCTTCGGTTCCAGAGAAAACTCCAAAATTTTCAATTTCCCATCACTTTCTGTCATGAAGACAATGGTCACTGGGACAAACAGCAAGGGGTAGTGTCCATACCCAGGACACAGACAGCAACAAAACACAGACAGCAATAAAAAAAACCTGACAGGCGTTTGATTATTTCCATACTCTATGCAAAACCAAACAGAACTGGGTTTACATACACTTTAAGAACATATTGCAATTGGTTTAGCTCCATTGCATGAAAAGAGAGCCTTTTTCAAACTCATAGTTTACTAATATGAATGTGTTTTTATTTTTTTGGCATCTAGAACCTCAGATCTGTGGGCACCTAACGATCCGAGAAAATTTACTTCACATTAATTGTGTTCAAGAAAATGGCCTTTTCCTTCCTGCAGTTCGTGAGAATTCTTCAGATCTGAGCAAAATGGAGTCTCTTAAAGTTCAGCTCCCAGTAAAAGTGCCGCTCTCAAAGTCACCAGATATACATCTGGTTGTCCTAGTGCCAGAAGAAACAATTCCTAATGAAACAAAGGAAATAGAAGAGTTCTCTGTTAATGCCTTTAGACCTATAGAGGAACCACCAGCCAATGATGACTTTGTTCCTGAACTAGTGCCAACGCCTATTTGTCTGTCAGAACATATCACAGAAAATGACATTACCGAACTGAAATCTTGTCCATCAGCAGATGAAGGATTTACACAAAACTATGTTAAATGTACAGACCTGGAGGAAACCAGTGTTTTAGAAATGAATGTGTCCGAAAAATTCAGGATTTCAGAAGGCCAAAAGACACTTCATATTGAACCAGAAAACTGTACCACAGAAGATCACAAATTAAGAGCAGCAGAAGAACTGGAATTAATAACATCAGGTAACAGTGAGATATCGCCTAATGAATTAACTACAGTGAGAATATTAGGAGAAAGCTGTGATATGTACCAGAAGGATGTGGAGTTCTCAAATATAACAGAGCTTCCTAACATATCAGAAGTCATTGCCTGTGATGAGACACAAGAAACAAGCTTGCCTGAGCCAGTCAATAATATATGTGCGACTGTGCCACATTGTATAAGAAGAGAAACTAACATGTCCCAGTCACCAATACAAGTTATGGAAAATGGCTCCCATTCAGGCTCTGATAGCAGTCTTCTTGGCTCCCATGATGCATCTGGAAGCAAACCCTCTGAATCACGGGTTCAGAGAAGCAGAGGCATCTCCCCAGCTGTTATGGATGTCATGCAAAGGCTTCAGCTTGACTCTACATTTGCTATTCCGTCCCAGCCAAATGTAAACAACACAAAGAAATTAAGTATGGCAACTCGGTCCTCATCCTTCAAGAGTAATACTTCAACTGCCAAAGAATTCCAAGGGATGCTGCAGCCTCATATTAAACCACAGCAGAAAGTTGTTGCAAATCCTGGCCTCTTCTCTCCGGCAACTTTGCAAAGGAAATTATCAAGAGCAATGGCCTTGTCCAAGAATGCTCCACAATCTCAACAGTCATTTACAAAGAGAAGTCCCATGACAAAAGCTAGAAGTGCAGATACAGAAACACTGCCTTCACTTACAAGGTACCAATGTTCTGTTCGTAGTCCATCACCGTATAGAAATTCATTATATTCGGGGCTACCTTTGAGTGATACTAAACCTAGGGGGCCAACAAGCAAAACAGGGGTGGATAGCAGGAAGGAGGGAGATATGAATCAAAGTGACTCCAAAATAACAGAAACTGTGCAAACACAAGAAGTTCCTCCCAATCTATTACTCCACCATTCTACCACTCAAAAGACAAACAATGGAAATAAAGGATTAGATAGGCCTGTCAGTCTTTATCCTGGTTCTGCTGTTCTCATAGCAATACCGTGTCCTTCATCCATGAAACAAACTCCAACATCCACAGCTTCCGAACCAAATTCACGGGTCCAATCACCACTAACATTGCGTTCTAGAATGTTCTCTCCACCCCCTAATCAAAATATAACAGGTCCAAAACCTTCCCGCATACCCTCCTTCTCCAGTAGCAGAGCCTGTGCATTTACTCCTCTTTCATTTAGTAGCTTGGAGAGGTCTTCTTCCTCATCAGCCAATTCTACTCCAACTTGCACAAGTCCTCCTGCTCAGCCATGGTCACCTGGGTTCTCATTCCACTCTAGAAAATCTTGTGGAAACAATATACCCACTGGTGGAGACCATCCTGTCAGCCCAAGTGCAATTAGTCCAACAGCTGCACCAAGCGAAGAAAGCAAATTTTGGTGTTCAAACAAATCACCCCCATGTCTGGCTTCCGACGGGGGTCCACTTAGCCCTGGGATTAGCACTCATGAGCTAACCAGCATCCACTGGCCTGATGTTCATGAGCTGCGAACAAAGTATGGACCCTTTAAGACACAGCAATCCATCACTCATGAAAGAAAGTATGATCTGAGGTCACCAACTCCATTTAGACAATGCAAGTCTATGGATGAAACACCAAACCTGTTTTCCAAAATTGCATCTCCGTTAATGTCAGCACCCTCACATTCCCCAACCATAGAACATAGTGAAACAGTAAAACCCTGTGAGAGTATGGAGAAATGGGACTTTGCTGACACAAAGGACCGAACCACTTTAAAGGCAAGTTACTCCACCACTGTTAACATACAGATTGGTGGTAGTGGTAGAATAGCCTCTTTCAGCAATGCTCAGGTGAGTCTTACGCACCCCTTGTTGCAAGCACCAGAATACCCAACCTCACGGAAGGTCAACATCAATGGAAGCACCTTAGACAATAAAATGAATCTGTGAACTGTAGGAGACAATATTGGAGGGATGCATATGCCAATGCCACCTCCCCAAACGTTGCTGTAAATTCAATGCTGAAAAAAATTGAATTCACAGAACAAAACAATCATATATGCCAAAGATAAGACACAGCAGTATGTCCAAGTGCACTTTTTTTCTATGTAGAACTTGACGACAATGTGCCAATATGGCCAACACCATGACTGTTAGCCAGAATTTCAGTAGTTATAGGTTCATTGATATTGCACTTACCATGAACAGTTTGCACCAAAGACACAATGGTCAATGTATTTTAATGTCAGATATACCACATAAAAAACTGATGGTTTGAGCAACTGTAAAAAAATATATATATGTATACAAAACAAAAAAACCTCCGTCCGCTTCAGTTGAGGATTTGCTATGATGAAATATGTTTAAACTTTACAGCCATATCTGCAACCTGTGTTGTCCAGCAGAACAACGATATGATAGGCAACGTTGCAAAACACATACTACAAAACAGTGTTTTATCAATTTTAGATGGTCATGTACCGTCACCACAACCTTCACTAATACCATCAGCACCACTTGTATTTATGCCATTACTTATTTCCAGCAGGGTCTTTGCAGGTTACTTGGTCTACCTACATCTATTATCTAGCTACATCTGCTATCAATGTCACTCTCTGTTTCACTCAACTGTTTCTGGTGTTCATCCCATTGTCATGCACACCCTGCTCTGAAAGATTTAAGACACCAGTCTCACCAAACTGACCTTGGTTCCTTTAAATGGATTGTTGTTTTTACTAGATTTGCACTTTTTTTTCTCTTTTGATGGCCATTAGGCAGTTGGTGAAGCATGTGTAATAAAACTGTGGACCAGAAGTAGTCTCTCCTTTGGAATGTACCTAGTCCTCCATTTAATTGCCAAAGCACCTGCCATGTGCCAACCTAAGTATGGACCTATACCACCAAAAGTACAGACCCTATACCTTTGGAAGAAATCCTGTAGGACAGCCTTCCACAGCAGTATTACTGCTACAATTTCCACAGCAGTATTAAAAAAATTCAGTTGATCTGATTCATTGAAGCAAAAGGTTCAGTGATAGCTCTCAGTTATCTAATCATTATCTGACTGGTGGCTGTCCTTTTGCCAATCAGGTCAAACGCCAATTACAAGCTTTCTTGGGTAAAAGAAGTGCTGGTAACATTGGTAGATGAATGTGTAAAGGTTTAATGGACTTCTCAGAGCAGGACATGGCTATGAAGGCCGCATAGCATACAGTGACATTTCTGACCACACACCTTGCCAACAAACGGCTTCTGAGTTTAAAGTGTATGTGTATTCCAAACTTTTCTTTTTAGTTTTGGGCAGACTAGGAAAGGCGCTAAGACTCCAGTCAGTTTATTTTTTGCTGTTTACGTCCTGTTGGGGAGATTTCCTTTCCTGTTATGCAAACATAACAGGAAGTGAGGTGAAAACCCCTCTTAGATAGTTGTCCCCAGAACAAATGTCCTCCTTGGAAAATTTTCCTTCACCTCCCATTCTGGGGACAACTGTAAAATGTTGGATTTCCCTCCACTTTCTGTCTCGGACACCATGGTCACCAGGTGCATCTCCCTAGCAGGGACACAGACATTAATTAAAAAAACTGACATGGGTTCTAACCCATGTCTACTATTAAAAAAAACTCAAAAAGCGTTCTCATCAGAAAAATGTTCTCATCCATATAAAAAAAACTCAACCATATAGCAAAAGCCCTGAAATATTTACAAAATTTCCAGAAATGGTTACTTAATACTGGCAAAATGAGATTACTTGTTACTATAATATTGCTAGTTATCTTATGAACATAAAATTGATGGGTTTTTTTATGCCTCCAAAAAATGAGATAATTAAACGGTATTGAGGTTAAAACATGTTATCTTTTTAATGACGGATCTTATTTCAGAAATAAAATGAAAACTGATTTAAGGATTCATAAGCATATTTTAGAAGCACTGCAAGACAATCAGATGGCCTTGGTCAATTAATTAAAAGCACTTTGTCAGTAATCCCAATGAGTAGCAATAAAGCCTGTCTTATATTTACAGAATGCCTGTAGCACTTATTAACTAACATAACTGAACATATATTATATGTATGTAAACTGCAAGTGTCCCAATAAGATTTTTCCTTAAGTGTTGTCAGGTCAGTGAAAGACTAATTCTGATTGGTTACTGAGTTAGAGTACTTTGGACACTGATTCTTGGCATGCTGTCTTGGTCACTTCAACAAACCAGTCACATGGAAGATAAACTTAAAGCCCATCTCTGGCCAAATATTGCGTCCCCCATCTTTCCCTCTCCACTCCCACCCATTAACTTTTTTTAAACCTCCGTTCACCTTTTTGCTTACCTGAACCTGCTGTGACATGTTCCTCACCGACACCTTTTCCTGGAATGGAAACCAATGATCCGGTGCTGCAGTCTGTGTCCTCTTTTGACTAGTCCCCTTGGGTGATGTCATCCCATGGCTGCAGTCTTCGGGAAAACCCTGTTATTGGACAGCCAATGGGAAGTGCAAGTCCAAGTCACCGCGGCAGTGACATTGGCACCCCAAAAAGAACCCTTTCATTCTGCAATGAGCAAGTTATGTTATGTGAATGGGAACATGTAACAAATATGACACAGATGTTATCCCAATTTGGCAGCCAAAGTGAAAATACAAATCAAGGGGCTTTCTTTTTTTAATTACTCAGAAATTAGTTAGTAGGGGAGTAAAAGGTTTTGGGGGCAGGTCACATTTCCATCAGCTTTTAGAAATCCCTTTAAATTTATTGGGACAGGTATATATTACATATTCAATACTAAACATCGACGCAAACCTTGTACAGAGTTTGTCGGCCTGTGGCTTTTCATTATGGTGGGACTACACATTCCTGGCATACTTTGTCGGGCTTGCCAGTCCATGCACACTAATGTACCATAGACGTGAATGGGATGTTGCTCCTGCAGTACGGGCACACCCTTTCAAGCAAGTAAATGGAGGGACCAAAGGGAGAGTAAATATAGGCAGCTGCAGAGGTCAGAATTAAAGTGAACCTGTTGCTTTGCCTTGTACATGCAAAGCTTACATTCACATTAAGGTGGCCTAACATGTTAGATATGGAGGCATCATCCAACTTTCTGCAATTTATTCCTCAGTTGGTGCATGAATATTTATGATCAGATCACCTTAGCATGTACTCTATATAGCCAAATCCCAAATTATTGAGTTTTTTCAGTGACGGTTACTGTTATTACTAAAACAAAGAAAGACCCTTTAGACAACTGTGTGCTTCCAGCATCCTGTCAACAGTTTGGTGAAGGTCCTTTTCTGTTCCAGCATGACTATGGCCCTGTACTCAATGCCAGGTCCATAAACACATGGTTTGATGAGATGGGTGTGGAGAAACTCAAGTGACCTGCAAAGAGCTCTGACCTCAACCTAACTGATCAACTTTGGGATGAATTAGAATGCCAATTGTGAGGCAGGTCTCAACCAACCTTAATAACTGATCTCACAAATGCTCTTTTAGTTGATTGGGCACAAATTCTCACAGACACACTGCAAAACCATTGTGGAAAACTTTAGCAGAAGAGTGAAGGCTTCACATTAATGCCCATGGTTTTGAAATGCAAATCCAGTAAGATCATATAGCTATAATGGTCAGCTGATCACATACTTTTGGCCATATAGTGCACGATTATGCCTATGGAGCCGGAAGGGCAGAGTGCTGCAACACACCACTAAGCTTGCTTACCTTAAGATGAAAATAGTCACAAATGGATATCAATATTCAATATAGCCAGCAGCTATTTTGCTTAAGATCAGTAAGGTGTGGCGATCTGATATTGTTATGCCTAAAGCCAACTTTGAACTGTCAACATTTCACAGATGCCATATACTTTGTCACTTCCTTTCATTTTTCCTAAAACAAGGAAATATTCTTAGAGTTGTCTCCATCTAAGCCTGTAATAAGATAGTATGAATAAAAGTGTTTTTAGTGAGGTGAAGAGAAGAAAGTTGTTTGGAAGTCAGAAGATTGGAGATGTTTGTGGGATTTTTGTATGTGAGCCATACTGTGAATTGGTTGCAGAATGTGAATGTGAATGCAAAGACTAACGTTCCACCATTTTCCATGGTATATCAATAATACACCTACATTAAAAGCTTTAGAAACCGGGCAGTGCATAGTCAATGTGCACATTTCTGTAACATATTGCCACCAATCAGAATTCAGGTTGCTGTAGCTTGAGTGGGGATTGGTTGCTATGAGTTACAACACCTTCTTTATCTGACAATAATATATTTAGTCTCCTATTGGTGCTCCAACTTCCTTTAGTAATTTCAGTTTCTTGGGGGTGTGTTGAAGGCAAAACATTAATCTTGCAAGATGACAAACTTCTGAAACGTATTGTAACTCATTACTGTGTTAGAGCTTATCAACTGGTAGCAAACCACCTACAGGTACCCTCATGGATGACCGTTGTCTCTAACACATGTAGGATTCCAGTAACATTCAGCCTAGTTACAAGGCCTCCCATTCAGTAAAAAGACATTGGACCCACTGCAGGTAAATAGATACTCCAGAAAATGTTAGTTAAGTATATTTGTTCATTTATGAATATCCTATTTATGACAAAATAGGTTTTTGCCCAGAAAGTGGAAATACGCTTTACATTATAGCCTGCCTTTGTGTGACTTTCAATGATAAAGAAAAGCCATATGCACTAAAAATTTCATTACACTGCTTTCCTTATAATGTATTTCCAATGGTCTTCAGTCAGTGTGATAGATTTCCCCAACTGTCCTTTCCCTTTTTTTCTTACCATGTGATCACACTTCTCTGACCAATCTGTCCCTTCTATGGTATGACAAGGTTTGTTTACAAGGAACCTGCAAGGATACGAGTATATCAGCTGGCACTGTGATTTTTAATGCTTTGTGAGCGTGGGTGAGGCATGGGCAGTATGACCTTTGACCCACCATATATAAGAATACAGAAGGACCTTTACGAATGGCTAGAATCCTACATTAAAGTGGTTATGAAAATCTAAGAGGCCTGTTTGGACAGCATGGTTACATGCACATTTTGCTTTACATTTACCCCATGCTTTGAGTTCTGCAATTACTTTATCTCCATTCATTTGATCAAAACCAGTATTTGTTGATGCAAAAGCATATATAGGCTATTAATACATTGGAAGTGTATAAGAGCAGAAACTATAATACCCTAGTCTATTTTCATCATAGAAAGTGCAAAGAACCCCAACACAGAATGGTACGCAGCGCTGTTATATCACTCATCACTGAGGGTGGTGTAGATATGTTGTGCTATTGGAATCTACATTTAGGGTGCACTGTGATCACAGAACATGTC